AACCTCTACCCATATTATTATTATTATCAAGTTATTGTCCGTACCCAGCCCTATTGGCTATGACAGACCTCTGGAAGCTTGGTGAGACCCTACAGGCCTCACCCCTATCAGAATCCTACATACAAAAATTCAAAATAAATCACTATCTCGTCCCCATGTGGCCGATATGCCAGGGACCTTTGGGCACTCTCCCTAGGCTAATCCTCCCGGAGATCCCTTATAGTTCCAAACCCGTGGGCACACCTAATCAGTACAAACTCTGACTAGCGTGCCCTCACCCCTATTCATCCTCCAATGTGACACCTAGGCCACCTTCCTCCAACGTATCCCACCCCCACGCATCACTAGACTCAGCCTCTCTGGCTGTCCGCTCCTTATCATTGAATAGGTTGGCTTCAGCCACGAATTGCAGCAAGCCCTGCGTCGCTCTAGGCTCAGCAAATAGCCTAGCCTCGGGGTCTTCCTCAGCCGCTGTAGGCAGTGGCACGCCTGCTTTTTTGAGGGCTTGATAGAGAGTTCTTCGTCCTGTTCGACGTCCACGGCACTCAAAGAGTACATGCCTTACTGTCTCATGAGGCTCCTTGCAGGCCTGACACTCAGGCGATTCCCGTCGGCCTATCCGGTATAGATAGGTACCAATTGGGGCATGTCCTGTCTTTAACTGGTAGTATCGACTAGCCAATCTTTTCGGAGCTTTTCCTGCCACTGGGTCAAGGTTCCAACCTCGAGGCATCTTGTAGACACGTCCATCTCTATGCCTGCCTTGTACAGCATTGATTTGAGCCCATTCAGATACTGCGGCTCTCCTTGCTTCCGTGCAAGCCCTTCTAACGTGCGCTAAAGATAGGTGCTCAAAACCAGGCGCGGTTTGTTTACTAGCTGCACGTTTAGCAGCTTGATCAGCCTGCTCGTTCCCTTCAATCCCTGAGTGGCCTGGGACCCATTGTATTGTGACTGGCTGGCCTCTCAAGGCTAGTTTCTCAGCTGCCTTGTGAGCCCTAAGAACAAGGGCTTGCCCAGGGCCTGGCCTTGTCGATCTGAGGCGATCAATAGCATTCTGCGCGTCGAGGAACACCCAGATAGGACCAAGAGGTTGCCTCTCCAGTGCCCATTCAAGGGCTGTGGCTACTCCCACTAGTTCTGCGTCAAAGACCTCGTGTCCGTGGCCCATTGGCACCTCTACGTGTTCCCAGGGGCCTCCAGGTACAGCCTGTAAAGTGACACCGGCTCCTGCACGTCCTGTATCGAGTCTAGAGCCGTCTGACCAAAACGTTGTTCCAGCACGCTGTTGATTAGCCTCTGTTAGGGCCTCTTCCTTGTCAAGTACTCGGATTGAGCCTGGGAAGCTTTTGAGCTCGCATCGTTCAGTTCTTTCGATTCCCCCAGAGGGGTCTCTGTTTAACCGTTGAGCAAGGTGCTTTGCAAGCCTTTGGCCAAGTCGATTTAGCACCTTGTTGTCTCTAGAGGCCCATTCACGGTCGTCCAGTGGTTGCTCTCCAGGTTGTGCGTGGAGGTCACCATGTCTGAGGGTGACTGGAAGTATCTGCGCTGTAGGATGCGTGTCAGGCAGAGCTAGTAGCCTCGCTGTATATCGAGCTACTCTAGCGTCCAGTAAGACTGTCGCTGGCTCTAACGCTGCCTCTCTGATTAGGGCTCCGATTGGGGTTTTTGGGAACATGCCCGTAATACCTCTGGCTTGCTTATTGATTAGAATCTGGATCCTTTGTGCCCATGTTTTCTGGCCTTGCCACCATATCTCGGCACCCCATAGCAATTGGGCTTGCACTGTAGCCTTCTGTATGCGCCTCACTAATGCTGGGGGTAACCCATTAGCTCTGCAGAGTGAGTTTAACCTGATTATCGTATTTCTTGCTGTCTTAATTCGAGCGTTGTAGTGGCTCTTCCATGTAAGTTGGTTATCTAGGAGTATCCCTAGCCACCGTACTGTAGATTTGACAGTTGCCAACTCGCCTCCAACCCTGATCCGGGCTCGAGATACGTTTTGGGCCACTTGACGTCTGTGTCATCTATAAAAGAAAGCGGCTTCAGTCTTTTTGCGATCAAATTGTACCCCGTTAGCCACCCCCCACTCGATGGCTACTTCCGCGGCTTTCTCGAGGATCCTACAAGCCTCCTTCACTGAGCTTGCGGCTGTTACTAGGCCTTGGTCATCCACAAAGGACAGACATCGAACCTCTAGCACACTCCTCTCAATGGCTCTTGATAGCCCATGAACGTATAGAACAAAGAGAATGGGTGACACCGGAGAGCCCTGAGGTAACCCAGAGCTTATCGGTACTTCCTTTCCCACGTGTCCATCAATCACAAGAGTGACTCGCCGGTCAGATAGAAATGAGATCACCCAATGTATAAGATCTCCATCCACGCTAGCCTCTCTGAGCACCTCTACCAGTTTTGCTAGGATGACATGGTCAAAGGCCCCCTCAATATCCATAAATAGAGCTGCAGCCAGCTTCCCATTTGCCCAAGCTTGATGGATCTCCTCCACTAGACATGCCACAGCATCAATTGCACTGCGTTGCTGACGGCCTCCAAATTGACCATCATGGAAGAGGTCTTGAGCCTCTGCAAAGTTTGTAATTAACTCTGCCACGAGCTTCTCAATCACCTTGCCAAGGCACTTCAATAGGCTTATCACTCGATACGCACTAGCCAGTGTGTAGTTGGTTTTACCGTTCTTTCTCAGTAGAACTCCCTTGGCTGTTTTCCAGACACGTGGATGTATCCCAAGCCTGAGGCACTGCCTAGTCAGGCTAACCACACGCTCTGAGTCTAGATTCCATAAGAGCCTGATAGCCCTGAAGTTCAGTAAATCTGTACCTGGAGCTTTCTCTAGTCCCTGGCTAAAGAGGGCATTCTTGACAACTTCCTCGTTGACCAGCTTGTGGGCCGATCCTCGCTCAGGAAGCTGTAACTGCATGTTACTGTTTGGAGCCTGTGGAAATGCACGGTGTCTAAAAACCTCCTCCTTCTCGCTAAAGGTGGCTGCAATCACCTCCCCTGAGGCCTCATCGGTGAGAGCTGGTGTGGTGCCTTGTGTTTGTGGTTTAGTATAGCGTAAGGCTGTCCAACACCGTTTCTGATCTGGCAGAGAGCCCTCAGACGTGCCCTGAAGGAAACCCTCCCAGCACTCTCTTTTAGCTCTCCTGATCAGTGAATAGAAGCCCTTACGTGCTTCTCGATGCTCCTCTTCGCTATCTCACCCGCTTGGTAGGCTTATGAGCTTGGATACGCGCTTCGTCTGCTCATCTCACTGTTCCCCACCGCTAGATCGAGCACAAGCTGATCTGTTTGCAGTGCTTGT